TTTTTTTTTTTGGTGGTACCGGGAATCAAACTCAGGCCCTTGTGTTTGCTAGGCAAGCACTTACTCCACTGAGCCATCACCCTGGCCCCACATAATACAGATTAATTAACTGGTCCATTCTATAGATTAACAAGAAGTACATGTTTTCATTTTATTGTTCAATTTAGCTTCAGGGAATAAAAGATTATCTTGATAACCTGCAGAAAGTCACACCAGTGTGACTGTACACATGATAAGTCTATTAAATTTGGCTTGATGTTTCATAGTTCTATTAGATGAGTTTTGTTGCTTTTCTAGAGAAATGGTGGACTTAATGCATGTTCTTCTATAAGGAAGAATATTAAGCCATTCTCTAAAGTGTTTGTCAACATTTTGACTGTGTTGGATTTCTTGTTTCTGTGGTGTTCCTGGTAAGGCATTTTTGAATGTTTTTATAGAGGGGGTATAATACTTACTAGTTTCTTGAGCTTTCTTTTTTTTTGGTGGTACCAGGAATCGAACTCAGGGCCTTGTGCTTGCCAGGCAAATACTTATTCCACTGAGCTATCTCCCTGGCCCTTCTAGTTTCTGATAAGTTATTGGAAAGCATTTCAGATCACCTTTTTATTTTTGGAAGTCTCTATGTAAGTGGGAACGTGTGTTCTCAGAATTACTGGTATAGAATCACCCAGTATCTGAGCTCTGTACGGAAACATTATTTTGCAAGTGAGGAGGATGTTTGCAGGCATCTGAGTCTAAATCCTTCCATACATCCTCCAGGAACTAAATGAACCAACCAGGAAAGCAAATAAAAGCACATATAGCCCAGGCCTCCAGTATATTTAAGAAATGGAGTGCTGCAAACTTTAACCCAAGTGAGAATATAAATGCTATTAGAACCAGCTCTGAAGTTTGTACTTGAACCCAGAGTCTGGTAGAGGCTGTGCGGCTAAGCTGGTGGCAAACTGTAAAAGAAAACCATCTCCTGAGAAAGGAGGACTGAGACCTGGTAGACATGGGGAAATGAAAGGGTTTAGCCATGTGGTGGTGCACACCATAAGCCTAATGCTCTGGAAGGCTGAGGCAGAAAGGTTGCAAGTTCCAGTCCAGCTGGCAGCTTAGCTATGCATAGCTCATTGGAAAGGCCCTGGGATCAACCCCCAGAAGAATGAACAGTGAATGGTGAATGCAGCTTGCCTGAAAGTGTATGGGCCCAGGGGGGCAGTACTGGCTAGTGCTGCTTCTGGGAAAAATGAAAGAGGCATTTCCTAGGAACCTGGTGGTAAAGGAAAAGGACAAGGTGGAGGAAGTGAAAGGCCCCTGAAACAGCCCATCCCTGAATCAAGATAATTCCATATTCCTTTCTCCTGTACTTACAAAAGAAAGTGCACTTCACTTTGTCTACATAACTTAGAAATCTAGTGGAATACCCAGATGTCTCATTCCTTTAGGATCGTTTGCTCCTGCTGCCCAGAAAAATTCATGACTTTTAAAAATGAACTGAACTAGCAGGTAATACCTGTACAAAGGTCTTGATCAGCACAAAATGGTGACATAACCTAATGTCAGTAGCTGA